CAGGAATGTCCTTGAAGAGCTGAACAGGTCGATACCTGAATGGCCTGTATAGCTGAAAGTATGCTGGACTTATAAAGTGCCCAAAAATGGACAGAAGATCCCAGAATAATCAGGAGAACATAGTGTGGATGGTTTACAGCATCCACACAATTAGCCCCATCTTGAACACCTACAATGATAACATTCTGCTTATATATTAATACCATACCATTCATACCCTATCAGAATAAACGTGAGCCACAGGGAACATTTTGATATTTTCAGTTGATTTGATACTTTGTGTATCTTTCTGTTAATAGGCTCCTTATGTAGGACTTTGAATGCTGGATGTTTACTTACGGTTAAAGTCAATTAAATTTAATTTCATTGTCACATTAAATTTAATTCAGTTTATTGTAACATGTAATACAGTAGTGTTTGCACTTTCAAGAATAAAATATCAGCCTAAAGATGCAAAGAAAGCTGGAAAGCATGTATTAATGATCTCAAACAGTATGTTATTATGATCTCCTGTAATGTGATGTCTCCCACATATCAGGCAGCATGCTACATTCCTAATGACCAGTCTGGTGTGTGGCTATTGTGTAGCAGCTTGGAATCATTTACACTTGATTTAATGAAGGTAAACGCAGTGAACAGATGTGCGTAATGGCAGTGCACTCTGGCGCGGCACATCTCAGAGACTCAAATAACTCAAAACTGGACCCATCAGTCCACAAGTCTTAGTTCCAGTCATCTAAAGCCCACTGTTTGTGCATCTTGGCCCACTGCAAACTTTTCTTCTGATTTGCCAACCTTAGTAGGGCTTTTTTCTCGGCAACTGTGCCCATGAGCCCAGCTGACCTGAGTCACTTATACACAGTGTCTGTGCACACTGGTTTCTCTCTTGTTTTATTCAACGATGCAGCCAATTCAGGAGCAGTGAGGCATCAAGGTGGACACTCAAAAGTACTTGCCTTCTTGGGCAAATGTGCACTTGGGCCTTCCACTGTGTCCTCTGCCTTGATTGGATCCAGTTGCAGCATGTCTTTGGAGACTATAGTGTACACCATTTAAAGAGCTCATGGCATGCCTTTCTTTGTTTTTTGACTTACAATGTTACAACAGTGAATTATCATCTTAGACATGACCTAAAGCTCAAAAAATGAGATGTGCATATGTTCTAGTATTTTTATGCAGAAGCAACTCAATAAATATACATTTCGCAAACTCTCACTCACAAGACTTTTTTTCAAACAAAATAAATTCAAATTCAAATTTTATTTATATAGCACCAAATCACAACAAAGGTCATTTCAGGACACTTTACAAAGTAAGGTCTAGACCTTACTATTACCACTACTATTATAGAAGAAACCCCAGCAAATCCCCCTTGAGTAAGCACTTGGCGACAGTGGGGAGGAAAAACTCTGACAGACCCCAGCGATTAAAGTAGTAACACAAACAAATTATGCAGAGGAATTTTTTTTTATCACTAATATTGATACAATACTAATATTTCAGCCGCTATTGCATTGTGTTCAATGTTACATACATTTTAGAATTTCTGTAACTTTACATCTGTTCTTAAGACATGATTTTGATATTGCTGCCTTTATACACTTTGGCTGTTTATTAACTGATAGAGCATCATGCTTGTTGTCAGTGTTATGTTATGTCAGGTCCTTTTGAATCAGATCTTGGAATCATGAAGACCTCTACTCCAATTTTCAGGTTCGTAGACAGAAAATAAATCTATTTGTTGCCTGCCAGGTTGTGTTATTTTAATAACAGAGAAGGGACAGCTAAGAAAACCAGCATAACAATAATTACACACAAACTGCTCATTATTACAGTTCTCCAACCATATGTACTTTCCTGCCAAAGACATATCCTTAAATTGAGATACTCTCTGTCCATCTGTCTTCTCTCACACATTTTTATTTATTTTTATATTGTTCTTGCTGATTATTTCACACACACACACACACACACACACATACACAGGAAGAGCAGGAGTGGTTTGGCTGCCTTCTCTGCTTGGCAAATAAAATGTCACACGGGTGTCACTGGCCTTTATGGTTTGGGTACAAGAGAACAGAATTTCCATTTTATTAAGAAGAGGAAGAAGAGGAGGAGCTAACTGGGAAAAGCATCTATACAGACTAATGGGGGAGGGAGGAGACTAATGTGAAAGAAGATGTGTCTCTTACTGCTGTTGCTTGAGTGCAGTGACTGATATGATGTTATTTTAAGTCAGGTCAGGTCAAGTCACATTTTATTTATATAGCCCAATATCACAAATCACAATTTTGGGGCCTTTACATTCTGTACAGCATGTCACACCCTCCATCCTTAGACACTCAAGACGGATAAGGACAATTTCCCTCAAGAAACACTATGAGGAAAAAACAAGAAAGAAACCTTAGAAAGAGCAACAGAGGGGGGATCCCTCTTCCAGGACAGACAGACATGAAATACCTGTAGATGTTGTGTGTACAGTATAAATCGACATAACACATTGCAGTATGGACAGTTAGAATAACTAAGTAGTATATTGTGTAAATATATGTGAAACATGTTCCAAGAGGATTAACAACTTCCAGGTGACTCCAACAGCCATACGACCCCCCCTCCAGATAAAGACCTGTTAGGTAGACTATAAAACACAAGACACAAAACCCAAGCACATCATTCACAAATACAAGGCAAGGAAACAGACACATTACCGCAACAGAGAAGGACAAAAGCAATGAACAAATGAACAGGAAAGAAACAAAGGGAGGGGGAGAAGGACAAGAAGCTGGGACTCCTGAAGGATGAGGTGGAAAACAAAGTGTGAATCTTGTAAGAAGAGTGTGATGCTATGACTGGAGCAGCCTGCTACAAAATGTTATTCAACTAATTCATCAGTTCATTCCTGAATTCCACCAAACAGTATTGTTGACGCAAAGTGAAAATACTGACAATAGTTCTATGATGACCAATTGATCTTTTTAAATACTACTACTACTACTACTAATAATAATAATAATAGTAATAATAATAATAATAGTACTAATAATGATAATAATTATTATTATTATTAACAACAACAACAATAATAATAATAGTAATAATAAGATGTGCCCATGAAAATCAGTTTCCTGCCAGCAAAACTAGCTAACCTTGTTACAACTTGAAGAAGAAGCATGTATACTGACACAATTTACATATCAACATTGTTGGGTAACCCATTTGTTACAGATACAGAAACAGATACAGCATATTTGAATATTGAAATTATTTGTTCTGTTGACAAAGCAGATAAAAAGGATTAAAAACCAGCACTGACATAGTGAAATCTAATGTTAATGAAAGGATTTGGACATGCAGTTTTGTTTGTCTTGAAATGTGTTGAAATATTTGAAATAACATGTACCATTCTTGTAAAAGATAGATGACGAGATGGCAGCATGGAGGTAAAAGGGAGAGAGGGATATGTGTGTGTGTGTGTGTGTGTATGTGTGTGAGAGAGAGAGAGAGAGAGAGAAAGACTGCAATAAAAAAAGGCTGATGTCATTTCTGTGAAGCAACCAATGAGAGAGTACTTGGGTGGGGAGTCAGGGAGGGAGGAGAAACAGAGCTCAGAAGGGTGTGTTTTATGTACCACTGCAGCATCAGTGTGAAAAAGAAATGAGAAAAGGCACAGCTCAGTGGAGAGGAAAGAACAAATAGAGACAGAGGAAACTGACAAGGAGAGAAAAGAGGATTCAGAAAAGAGAAGGCACATAACACCTGCAGAGGTAAGACAAAAACAATAGCATCCCACCATGCTGCCTGTGTCTGGGTTTCCATAGATGAATGTGTCTGTGCGTCTGTATTTGCGTGTGCGTATGTCTGTATTTATGTGTGTGTGTATAAAAAAGTGAGCTGTTGATGTGGGCTGGAGGGTGTAATTATGTTTTACATAATACAAGGACAGGTATGACTATGCTGGATGATCTGGGAGTGCACTGATGTATGTGTTTGCGTGTGTACTTGTATGGCTTTACAGTTTCAGTTTTAGACCAGGGAGGACATTTTGTGCCACTTTCTGACACACCTTCAAAGGACTGTTTGAGGGTCAAAGGGTAGAATCAGGTTTAGGTTAGGGTAAGGGGCTAGAGAATGCATTAATCAATGAATGTCCTCACAGAGATGGAAGCACAAGTGTATGTGTGTGTGTATAACACATACATTTACTGTATGTGTGTGGGTGGGTCTATGTGCATACTGTGCCTTTTGACTTAAGAATGCCTAAAACGTTTAAAATGACCTTTCAGAATTTTCACAGTTTTCCATGTGCAGAAGACAAGCTCAGTGAGGGCGAATCAGTCTTTAGGGAGTGTCTCATTGAGTTGATTCAGCTTTTTAATATTTGATATGGCAATGCAGCAAAATGTTTTTATTAATATTGAACAAAATGCTGCACTGTACAACATTATAGTGTTAAATTATTCACCACCAGTTTGCAACATGCTTCCTTTAATGCTAAAATGTTCAGACTGACTTCTTTCATATATGATTTTGTTCTTTTTATCTTCATATCTGCAAAAACAAACAATCAGAAATGAACAGAAATTAATGGTCAGTTCTATGTTTTTGTGTGGGTGGAGCAGTTTTCTGATGTTGAGCATTAATTGGATTTCCTGACTGGTCAGCTTTTATTTTCTCAAGTAGTTAACATTTTTTTCTATAAGCTGTCAAAAAATAGTAATAAAAGAATGCCCTTTATACAGTTTTCTCACACAACAGCTCAAAACCCAAAGATATTTAAAGCTACACTATAAAAACTGCAGCTTATATTCTTTAGCATAAAAACAGTTAGGACTTAACTTAAATGATCAGTAATTCAAAGCAAAAAATCAAATTGTGCCAGCAAATCTAACCTGTCTGCTACTTGAACAAAAGTGAGCCCTGATAAATTTGAATTTTAATCTGTGATTCATTACAAACTAAGAAAGTTCTGCTTGCTTGTCTTCTTTACCTGGAGAACACAGGAAACAGACTTCAAATGTTAGTTCAGTTGACTAAATATACAACGATTGTTTATTCAACTTATCAATTAAAGTTATTTTGACACAGTGTTAACCTATTTACACATACTTCCCAGCATGGATTTCATCGAGGTTAAAATTCTCCAGATTCTGCTTTTTTGACATATAAAAAGATGATGGATGATGGAAGTCATTCAGTTTTTCCTGTACATTTGTCTCAGAGGAGCCAGAAACTTTTCTTTCTGTTTAAAATGAAAATACTGAAAGTCATGATGCAGAAAGGTCTCCATGTTAGCCACGCCCTGTACTATTCATATTTAAAGCATTTAAGTCTTGGCAGTCAATATGAGGACTAATGATCCCAGGCTTATCCTAGCTACTGTGCAAACCAAGACTTTTACATGGACACAGCTCACAGATTAGAGTTACTTTAACTTTGTATAAATTGACACAAGGAAAAATTCTGAGTTTTGATAATATAAAATAATATGTTACTCTAACTTGGAACAAAAGCAAAAATTATAAGTTGGATGAAGTCAAAACCTAATCTTAAAAAAATACGTATTTAAATAAAAAATTTACTGGTTTGAGTTTTCTCAACCTTTTTACAGTGTATAGTATGTAGCTTTTTTCATATATTTTAGTCTTAGAAATCTGCTCCAGAACTTGTCTTAGTGTAGAGAGATGCTATTAAAGTCTTCTGAGACACAGACTCATTGAACAGCACTGATATTAGCTTCTAAAAGGGTTTGAGTCGGGTTTACCTCTCTAACCAGTCAGAGAATTTCAGTTATTCCTGTTTGATCAGTAAGTTTTGTTGCATTCTCATTTCCTGCAATTTAACAATGACAAATATCTTAGGAGTGGAGCAAAGAGAGGGAGGGAAGGGCGGAGCAGGGTGAAGAGCAGGTTGACGAGCAGGTTGATTTGTGGTTTCATGCTAGTGCTACCTTAAATTACATTCTGTAGCTTTTACAGAAAATATACACAAAGACATAAACTCGCAAAAAAAGCAGCGATAAAGACCTTTTGTTCACTCTGCATTCACCGCTAGCTGATGCAATGTGACCTGCTTTTGGACTTCCTGTGTAGAAGAGACAAGCAGCCACATAGCCTCTCAGTAAGTCCCGTTTGTCTGCTCTGTGACACATTTAACTGTACTTTTCACAGCTACAGCTACAGTATCAGTAAGACTTTTTCCTATGGAGTACATCCACTCAAGCTGCAAATTTTACTATTTTTCCTCTATTAACTAATGACTTATTCTCTCTCACTTTGTGTTGTGGTGTGGGTTTCCCTCTTGTGCAATCACTGACAGTAACCACACACTGTCCATGGTCTCATGGTTTGATCGTTTAAAGTTCAAACCTGAAATTTTTGTGCACCAGCTGTCTAAGCTCACCACATGTGGTTAGGGAAGAACAGGAGATTTTTTGATAAACAAACTATAATACAGTATTTATTTAACCCCATTTCCCATAGGTCCTAGTAGTTTGTGGGCTAAACATCACATCTCAACAGAACAGGTGAGTCCATTAGCAGACTGAAGGGCTACAGATAGTTCAGACATATTTTTAATAACATGACAGAGAGAACTAAACTGAAGGACTTTAGAAGACAGTATTAGTGAGTGTTATGGAGTAAAGTGAGCGTTAAAACCAAGTTTTCAAAGTGTGTGGAAGTACATGCTTAATTTTTATATAGAAGCCATAGTTTTTTAAAATGTTGTTTTCTTAGTTTGTTTGGTTTCTGTGCTTACAAAGTAATCACTGTTTAAAGTAAAAATCACAGAGATTTGATTTTTTTTCTTAAAATGTGGACAGTAAACCCAAGGAACACACTTTGTTGTTCCCAATAGACAGCGTTGGAAAGTAGTGAACTACATGTAATTAAGCCAGAAGTTTATCTACTGTACATTTTGCAGTAGTTTTCTGGTAGTTCAGTTACATTCATATTTGTATAGCGATTCAAGTGGTTAAATAATCTTTTAGCATTTTTTGTGTAGTGTACTACTGAAACTCCAAACAATTGTGATTAAATTACTTTTAAAATTACATTTAAAAGGACATTTTCAGTGCCAAACAGTCTTTTGGATAAGGATTTTGAGAGGCTGCTCATATGTTGTATAAACAAGAGACTGGCCCATTATTTAAACCAGTGTTCAAGCCATTCATACTGTCTAAAAAGGTACAAATTCAAGACTGGTTGTTAAGACTGTACAAGTCAGATGTTACAACAGACCTGTTTTTTTAGACCAGTGCTCAAGTCAGTTAAATGACCTGAAAAGGAAGGTGCAGGTAAAGTATCTTTTCTTTACTTTTTTTAGCTGTAGTCATGAAAATACAAAATTTAGATTTGTTTAAAACTAAATATAAAATTCTTTGCAAGTTTGTCCTTGTGAAAAGTCCAGATGGGACTGTTTTATTTAGGACAGGTTTAGGTCCCAGGTAATATAACCAACTGAGTAGCACATGACTTTTTTGTATTATATTTTTTATTATAATTTTATATCACATGTTCATTGTCAATTTGATCACTTTTTGAGTAGCTTTAGTTAAGCGAACTATATTTCTCCCTAGAATATCTTTGCTGTAGTTCTACTTCTTCCAATGTTAAGTAATTGGTAGCTTGCAAAACAGCCACATAAAGAATGAATGTAATGCTGAAGCTGGTGGAACAGAGACTAGCCCAAACTTTCACTCTCCATAAAGGCTTCCTGCAAAGAGAATTCAGATCACTTTTTTACTTCCTGATGTTTTGGTCTTTTCATGCTTTTACTAGGTCTGCATATTTACTCTGGAATTCCTCTTGTTACACATAGCAACACATTACACAAATATTTGTCTCCTTTTCTGTCATTTGCATTGTGGGTTTTTTTCCACAATGATCACTTTAAACAGTGGATGGTTCCAAATGAGGTCTGGGCCCATAATTATCAGGTGTTTCAGAATCACTCTGAGGAATCGCACTGAAAGCTAACTAAAAAAGCCTCCCACTTCAGACTAAGACTTAGTTATTTATGAAGCCTCCTCCTTTAACTTTCAGCGAGGAGAAATCCTACTCCAAAGAATGAGTGTGACATCACTGTTTTATGACACTCAGAGCCACAAAGGAGACATTACAGTGACATGTTTTAGTTTTTCTGACAATCAGGGTTTGTAGTTATAGTCAGGGAGAAACAGAAATGCTGATATCACCTTCACTTGTCAAGTGAAGGTTTTATATGTATAGACATATATGTATATGTGTGCCAACTCTGACTTCAGCATGTCCATGGAAACTGGTGAGTTGCATATTTGTAGCAGGTTTTTCACTGATTAACAGTGAGGTGATGTGGACGAATTGGTGTATTATCATTGGAGCTGTCAGAGCGACTGAGGTCTCATTTATTATGACCAAAACTGTTGGCGTTGACAGACTCAAATGATCACTGCTGCTGCACAATAAAAGGTGTAGCCTAAAGAAGCATTGACTGCAGTTTCAGTGGGGACAGCATGCGTTATTCTGCTTGTTGGAGCAACTGCATCTTGCACAAGATCTGTCACAAAAACTATTTCATTCATGGCCAAACTGTATTTTTTTAATGAGCCCAGTGTCATTAAGTGGCAATTATAAGTAAGTAAAACATCTCTCCCTGCTGAGTCTGTTTGCTTACCTCTGTCTGAACACCACCTCCTCCTAACCAGTTAGGACACCTCTGGAGCTGTCCTATGTTTTGGTGGAGCTACTAGTGTAGCTCCTACTAGAGCTAGTAGGAATGTTGATAA